TGAGAAAAAGGTTTTGATTAATAAGAGAGAAGCCCTTCATCTTGCTTGTCAGGCCACAATACTTAATGTTACAACAGCAAATGACCCAGGATGGCTACTGAAAAGAACCTGGGGAATCAGATACTGCAAGTCCAGAACAAATAGAGGGAGTTTGATCTTTATAAAGGAGCAAGAAATAAAAACTGTAAGTCCTATAGGTCCCAATCACGTTATAACACATGAAGGTAATAGAGACTCAAACAACAAAAATTTTACAGCTACTTACTAGTCCCAGTCAGTGCAGATGGAAAAAAGCAGGAAAAAGAATTACCCTTCAACAGATGACAGAACAAGGGACATGTCTAGGACAGGTACCACCATCAAAAATAAAACCCTGCAGTATGCAACTAGAACAGTTAGACAAAACCCACAATAGTTCAATTCTGAAAACACAAGATGAATGGTGGAGATGTTCAAAGACAGAATTATCTCCCTCTCTTGCACTAGAAGTGTTTAATGAGAGTGCTGAATTTTGCATCGAAGTTTCAGTAACAGCTAAAGTACTCTACCACCACGAGGAAAATATACACATGTATTGGGAAAGTGAGAGACACAGAATACAAAAAAGAGGACCAATTACTGCAATATCCCTAGCTACCTTAATAACATTGGGAGTCATGGGCACGGACATTAGAAACAAACAAATGAAAAAAAAGGAGTCTTCTTGTTTTTTACATGGGGAGGGGGAGATTGTATATTGCCTTAGCCTTAGAAGAAAAATACTGCTTTTATACTAATAACACAGGAATGTTATGAAATTCTTCAACAAAGATAACAGAAGGACTAGCTTGAAGGAGACCTGGGAGAGGCACAGCAAGGAAGGTTTGAATCTGGGTTTAATCAACGGCCTTAACTATCTTACTCTTCACACTAATAGGGCCTCTTGTAATGCTACTAATTGTTTCAACTTTCAATCCCTACATCCTCAATAACTTGTAGTCTTTGTCAGAAGAAGGATCAAGATGGTACTACTAATGATGCTACGTCAACACTACCTTGGCTTGATGGAACACCCCTTCGAGAAGGAAGACACTCTTAATAACCAACTTTAAAGAAGCTACACTGATACAGCGAACTTAATCGAGTTCGTGCCTTTGAATTTGTTATGCCTTTTGAATCTTTTACTATTATTCTATTTTTACTATGGCTTTCTTGTGCTGTAGATAAAATGCCAATCCTCTGTCATGGGGAGGGGGAGATGTTGTGTTGAGCAGAGCCCGCCCTAGGCAGGGATCGGCATGTGGAAGAGCTCGCGAAGTTATGGAAAGCTTAGACCACCCACGAGGGGCCTTGTGGGCGTGGCCTAACATAGATAAGCATTTGTACTGACGCAATAAAGGCCATTTGCTGCATCCTCCATGTCGGAGCAAGTGTTTCAATGGACCTCAACGGTAGAGGCTGAGTTGCAGCGATCCCGGGTTCAGATGTCGATAACGACAGGAACCCAGTTTTGATATCTCCTAGGCATGCAGCACCTCAAGCATGTCCATAGTCCTGTTACTGCCAAGGATAAGTGGATTTTCATGGCTAGGGCTGCTTTGCTTATTTTATTTTCATTTTAGTCTGGTCTCACATTCAGTAGCAAAAAATAAAATTCTGAGGACAGACTGATAATAAGATCTTACATCTAATGACATACATTCCTGTGGATTGGTTGGACAGCTTCTGTTTTCCAAGGTCTGACATAAGATTATCTTGGAAAATGGCTCTGTTGTGGATTTGTTTATTTGTTGTTTCTCAGTGTTCTGGCCCTTCCTCTAGGGAAGCAGTTCCTGTTCTGGGAACTTGTGCTGGGGCTCACTGCTGCCAGCCAGCCTTACTTTCTTCATAGCAGGCTGGACAGGATTCACAGGTGGCTCAGATTTGGTTAACTCCTGTCATCTCTGCTCCTGGAAATTTTTGGTCACTTACCTGTCCAGTTACAGCTACCTCTGACAACACCAGTGTTAGGACATGGCACCACTGGCTGTGCGAATGATTCTTCCTTGTGTGTTGCTTTACAAATGGCCAGCTTGGGCAAAGGGCTGAAAATGCCTGTGAAGATACTTTGCTGAGCTGTTCTTTAAGAAACCTGAACATAAAATCAACCAATACTCACCTCCATAACATCAGAGTATGCAGAGGGGAAGTTTTCCCCTCCAGCACTGTGTTACTGGGAAGGCATCTCATTTCCCCCTGGTCTGTGCACACATCCTGCCGCCCAGCCTTCTCCTTGGCTCCAAATGAAGTTGCAGAACTCTTCGCTCAGCAGCTCCCCAGTAGCTCTGCCTCCTGTGAGCTTCCTGAGAAAGTGCTGGAGAAACTACTGCAATCATTCGCATCCTCCCTGAATCCTTTCAGAAGGGACAAGGACTACCGAGTCGCCACACGTTCTCCTCACCTTGTGCATGGGAAAGCTCTCCCTGACTCCAGGAGGTGGAGGAAGGCTCTCTAAGACTTGCTTGTTTTAAAGGGGAGCTGTGTTTAATCCCTGCTTTTAAGGGGGCACTGACTATCCCACTGCTTAATAGCTCTCTGGTGGCTCAAGCACCACGGATGTCTGCACACAGCGCAGAGCAAAATACCACTAAGACAGCAAGACAGTAAGACTTTTGCCCCTGGAAGCCCCATTTCTCTGGATGAGGAATTCTTTTGAAAAGGGGGCTGGGACACTTGGGTTCAGGTGTGACTTGCTGCTGGCCTGTAACATGGACACAGGAACCATCCTGAGAGCAATAAACTTGGACCCTGCAGAGACTCTGGCCCACATAGTAACTGCAAGATGGAGACTAACCAGTGCTAAAAATGCTCCAACAGTCAGGGCGCTGATGCAGGACCTTCTTCTGTTACGAGTCCTCCTCTTGCACTTCTGTTCCCCAGGGCTCTGCTGTGTGACATTCCTGGGAGTGTTTGCACCAAATGTGCAACCCGGATACCCGAGGGTTGCTGCAGTTACTGTACTGCTGCTCTGCCAAAGCTGTGCTCCACGGGGTAGCTGAAGGAGCAGGCAGCAAAATTCACAGCTGGTCAGGCGGCAGTGTTCCCTTACCCTTGGCATTTCTGGCTACTGAGCAGGCTTTGATTGAGCTACTGCAGGCATTACTGAGGAGACACCGAGGTGGCCAAGCATGCCGTGACAGCCCTAATTTTGGAGTGGGAGTGCTTGTACAGCATGTCGTCAGCTGAGCATGTTTCAAGGCCACTTGTAGCTTCAGAGCAGTGAACTTCAGAGCACTGCCCAGAGAGGCTGTGGAGTCTTCTCTGGAGACTTTCAAAACCCACCTGGACACTCTCGTCCGTAACCTGCTCTAGGTGAACCTGCTTTGGCTTGGGGGTTGGACTAGACGATCTGCAGAGGTGTCTTCCAACCCCCACCATTCTGTGGTTCAGCAAGCAGACTTGTAGTTCAGACGTGATGCATGCAGCAGCAGAGCTTTGCAGGGCTCCAGCTGATCCTTCTGTAGTTCTTGATCCACATGCCAGCTTCGCCTAACAGCACTTCTAACAACTTCTGAAATCCCACTGTCTCTAACCAAACCCTCTTTTGATGTGAAAACTCTGTGCTGTCAACACAGATGATGAGTACCCTAGAGCTGTGCAAAGTGCAGAGGTCAGACACTGTTTGCAACAGGTAAGCTGTTGCCCAGGCTGTTGGCAGCAGGATGAAACCCACGTGCTTATTAACGCACTAGATGAACCTTTGGTACAAAGTCCCTCCTGAACCACTTGCCGCCCATGACTTAAGCCAATTCTTTCAGAAGCTCTGGAGTGTTCATGCCAAGCAAAGAACAAATGTGACAATAGTCTACCTTATTCTGAAAGCAACAGCATGTCTTGCCCTGCCATGACTTCCATTTACTTACAGTTTAGTTATGTGAGTGTACTTGAACTGGCACCTTGATCTTTCCTGGTTTCTGTTCACAAACACTCTTCTGGATGGCTGTTGAGCATTTCTGTTCAGACCCATGTCTGGCTTCACAATGGTGTTGGTTTTCTTTTTTTCCCCTTTTTTTTCTTCTCTTCTTTCCCCCTCATTTTCTTGGCATCACACAGAAGAGCCTTTAGCTGTGAATACTGTGGACAGAACTGCCTGCTGCTTGGTGAGGCATGTAAAGGCTGCTGCTGAACTGTTATTCTTAAGAACATGGTTTCCTGGTATTAAGGAACTACAAAAACTTGTGCTGTCAGGTAGTTGTCTCTTTATTTATTCAGAATTCTCTCCATCCTTACTTAATAATACACACTAATCACAAACATCAAACCAAAAGCTATCCCCTATCCACCAACACTCTGCATCACAGTGTGGTGAAACACTGCCTGGTTCTGAAGCTGCTCCTGTGCATCTGTAAGCAAAGAAGGTCTAAAGTGGAGGAGGTATTTGCAGGGACGTGTCACTGCCAGGAGAGGCTAAGTAGACCTGAAGCTGGGCTCGCATTGTTTGGATGCACTTTGACTTCAGCACCAAGATTTCATCCAGCTTGGTCACAAAACTCTGAAAATCCTGGCGAGGAAGGAAAAAGAAAAGTTTAGGAGAAAAACAGTAGCAGCAGGTTGGACAAAATGAGCGTATTTTATGCACTGTAGCTGTACAGAAAAGCATGTTTTCGTTCTGCAGTGTAGCAGACTAAATCAGTGTTTCCTTGTTAAAAATCTTTACCTTCACAAGTCAATGTCTCTAAACACTGATGTTCACTTAGTAGTGTTATCTGCTGGTGAATTATATGTAATACAATGGTTTAAAAAAATAAAGCTTAAAGGACCTGTTATCACCCTTTGACACGCTTTCCATCACCCTTCACAGCTTAATCCAAAGGTTTGGTATAGAGACTGCGCTTGTGACATGCCGTTTTGCCACCTACTGAACTTTGCCCCTGACACCCCTGGTGCTGGATCATGAAAAGGTGACTTGGGCCACTCATTGATCAGACATAGTAGCCCATTCCTGGGAGACAGAAAGGATTATCTTGCATCAAGCCACAGGGCCAGTCTACTCCAGCTCCTGCATGTTGGACTTTGGGAGCCCATACTAGCTCTGACACAAGAAACATCAGCAGTGTACACAGCCTCAGCCGAGGGGAACGCTGCCTTCCATAGCAACCTGTCACATGGATAAAAACTGATACAAAACTGATTGAAATGGAGGCAGTGTATTAATAAGGTAGCACTCAGACTTGCCCTGCTTTCCACCTGAGAGCAGGGTTTGGTGCACCTGTGTACTGGTCAGTGTCTAAGAAGCTGGGAGGTGTCTGCATCCTCAAAGCTAAGGGACTTTAACTGCCATCATATGAAAATCAATCATTCAAAAGCTTATTTGTCAGGACTCCAGCTATCTCATGCACTGTTTCTTTGCCTTGCCAGGACATCAGAACTGTGATGAAAACTACACCACCTGCCATGGCATATTTTCTATTAAGCAATTTAAATACTGCTTGGTTCAGTATGTGGCCAGTCTTTGCAAGAATATCTCCCGCAGACAGTTTCATGGCTGGAGAAGTTGCAACAGTCTGAAAGTGAAAGGAGAGAAACTGATACAGGAAGTCCAGTCTGAGTTCATTGTCCAAATAAAGGTCATACTGTGAAATAACACGCTAGGATTTAAGTTATTTGCACACTGCTGTGAGGCCTGGCAACCTTGCCATAATTCTGCTAGCTAGATGACTGCTTCCTTAAAGAGACAAATAAATGGGGCAGGGGAAAGTACTGCTGGCCTTTCAAAGAACGATCTCAAAAGATTAAAAACAAACAAAAATTTTGGATTAATTTGCACAGGTTCAAAAAGCACTGAAATCACCATCTGAAACACTTACCATTGCTGGCATCTGATTTATCAAGCACTCTTCCTTGAAGCACAAGGATGCCACTTCATCCAGCTGCTGCTGATGGGCCTCAATTACAGCCTGTCTGATTAACATAAAATACACCCACTGGTCACACACCTGCTCTGCTACCTGTAAATACTGTTGGCCTCAATAAACCTTCAAGGAGGAGCAATACCCCAGAGGAAGCCTTGCTGTCCTGAGTCCCTGGCATTCAGCAAGTGCTCACCAGTGCTCCTTGAAGTACAGTAGACTGCACTGGTTTTGGGTTAAAGGTGACCTGATGACTGAGGATTGCTCAGAGAACACAGCCTCTCATTAGCACAGGCTGCACAGGGGCACATATAGCTTTTTACCACAGGGAAATTGAGGAGCAAGAGACTTTTATAATTAATGAGTGAAACGGCTTACAACAATGAGGCTGTAAGCTATTCTTGGTGAAAAATAGGCAGACCTGGATATTTTAAAATATCACTACATAACAAGCAATCATATTTATAAGCTAATGACTAAAAATTATCATTAATCTTGTTAAGTACTTACTTCATCAATTGACTTCCCATGGTTTTTTATAAAGTACATAAAAGTATGACATACAGATAAAGGCGAATATCTCTCCTGTCCAGAATTTCTAACCTTCATGAAAAACTTCAGTGACCAACAAGACTTACTGTGCCTTTTCCAGGACTTCCCTCTCCCGCTTTCTCAACTCTGAGGTAGCACTTGGAGAGCTGCTGCTGGACGTGCCTGCAGGGCTCTTTGCATTTGGTAGTGGCTCCTTCTCTTTGGTTAGAAATCCTAAATCTGTAGCAATAGTCTCTACGATATAAGAAGTCTGCATTAGCTTGTTATTCAGCAATTCTGTTTCCTCATTGCTGAACAATGAGATGCATGTGTCTTCCAGACGACTCAAGTCCTCATTCCTCAGTCCTGACTTGGGCTGCAACAGCAGGCTGCTTCCTTGAGAGGAGGACTGGATTGTGTAATCTGTGCCTCCCACCCTGAGAGAGCATGATGCTCCTGGAAAATAGCTCTTTTCAGGTATATCAGCATTTTTTTCCTGAGCCACGGGCTCAACAATGGTTCCTTGTTTTGAGTTAGATTTTCCTGAATTACCAGTATTATCTTTAACATCAGCACCACCCTGTCTACCACCTCCGTATTCTTTGCACATCGAGTTACTGAGAAACAAGTCACGCTCTGTGTCTACCCTGAAGCCTGTGGATTCAGCTGCAGATGTTTCTGCTGGGTGACATCCAAACAGTAAACTGTGAACAAGTCCTTGCTTTGATGAACCCAAGCCCAGAAGGCAGCACCAAGCCTTCAGGTCACAGCAGGGGGATGAAGACCAGGTGCCCTCCGTTTGTGGGGAACGCAGCAGGGTGCAGTGCCTTCCACCACAACACGTGTGGCCCCCCAGTTCCAGCATGCTGTCTGCCAGAGCTCTGCTTCGCGTGCACTGCCAGCCCTCTTCCTCAAAGCTGTTCTGGGAGCCACATATGGCCCTGTCTGACATCTGCTTCACACAGGGGGACTTCTCTCGGTTAGAAGACACTTTCTCTGTATTAGTCATTTCCTTGTAGTCAAGAAGGGAGAACTTGAGAGGGGCCATTAGCTCAGCATTGAATTCTGAGGAACAGCTGGAAGATCCAAAGTGGTTCACTCTGTTTTTCAGAGCTTTCTGTTTTACATCTCCTGCAAGGGCAGCCTGTCTATCCAAATTAAACTCTTCCTTCTCTTCCTGCTGGAGGTCAATCTCTGTGCATTCTGGACTTCCTGATTTCAATACAGGAAACAACAAGGAGATTGAAGCATCTTTTTCTGGAGTTAAGGTGGCTTTGGCTAGGAAATCATTGCCATTCTTCCAGTTAGAAGCAGGATCTTCCTGCACACAGTAAGGTTTTTCTGAAGTATTGCTTGGAGAAGACTCAATAGGTAAATCATGTGTCAAGTTCCATGGAGTTTTGCTGCAGCCTGCACTCTTAATGGATTCCTCTGTCTTTGGGCTGCCCTCACTACAATCCCAGCTGTCATCTGCTTCACATTCTTGCATGGGTATTGCATATTTAAAAAGTAAACCCTGTCGCTTTTGGCCATTTTGCTCTTCTTCAGTTCCTTCTTCTCTCTGATGAAGGAAAAATGAATGTGGACTGTGTTTGTCAGTGTTTCTTCTTTTCATGCTCTTTTGATTGCAGACAGGTGAGAAAGAATCTTCACTGAAATCACTGTCATCTAATTCTTCCAGCTGCATCCCCTCTTTGCTCTGCACTTCTGTGGGAGTAAGGCTCAGCTCCGGCTTCACTTGAGTCTCCTGAAGCTTGTATTGCACTAAAAACGTCTCAAAAGGTGGCTGCTGAAGCTGCTGGTGGTAAAGACGTAAATGCTCTTCCCTTTCCTTCTGAAGTGGAGGCAGATTTGTCCAGGTTCCACCATAGTGCTTAAAAGTTTTTCCCCATCCCTGTCCGTCATCAGAAGGCAGAATTCCATCTCCAAAGGCAAGATCATCTCTAGAAACAAGCTGTTTCTGAACAGGTTCCACTGTCTGAACTTTCAGGCACTGGGCATGTGGTCTGTCTCGAATATACTTGTCTCTCTGGCCATTTTCTTTTATTTCTGCCATGGCAGCATTTTTGATGACAAAATCTTTTGCAGTGGAGTTCTCAGAGTGGGGGGACAGATCAGTTTTCTTCTTCGAGGGATGTGCTATCTGTAGGACTCCCTTAATTGGGCTAATGTGGTGGAACCATGGTGAGCTGGGATATCCTTTGTAGGCATGTCCTTTGTTGGTTGCCTTTGGGGTAGAGGTGAAAGGGCCACTCAGTGGCTGGAGTGCTGCAGCACATGCCTTTGGTTTTGTAGCATTTGAAGGACGCTGGATGCCTAGTTTCACTTTCTTTGGAGAGCTCTTTTCCCTGAGTGGCAAAGAGGGAGAGTTTTGGACACGTTTTGGAGACACGGTGCCAGCTGCCCGACGCCTGTTTGTGACAGGGTTAGAACATTTAATCCCTTTCTTCAGCTCTCTGACCCTGTAAAGGAAAATGGCTTTAGAAGATGTCATGCTTTCAGATAAATAACAGTGTCTGTAACATTTTCACATATTAAGGCTA